CTATGTACATTTCTAAATATAAATTTAATTTAAACAAACATCGATATTAAAATAAATGTATAATAATAAATCCCTCACAGTATGTTATACTAACACCGGTCTAGAAAACGTTATTAAGTAACACCTGACCGTTGTATATCAACGAGCTGAACGGCGAAACTAAAAGTTAATGGTGTAAGTAAAAGACACTCAGGTTTGCGATGAAGGGTTACCACACGAATTAAGTTTACCAGTGTTGTGTTAATCGAATGGTACGTAAACCCTGTTCAAATGGAGAGCAAAATTTCGTGATAGCTACGAAAGAACTGGGTACGTAATGGACCGTAAATAATAGGAAATAACACGGCAATATCAATATAAGAGAGTACAAAATTATGAAAACATAAAAAACTGTGAATTAGTTCTTTTAACCAAACATTCAACAACAAAAAAAAGTCAAGTATGTCAACCATACCTTCTTATTTAATCTCAGCCAAGTTTAGCTCACAGCTGCCAGGCTTATCTTCTTATCCAGAGTGAATCTACTTAAATACAAGTTAAAGAGAAAATACAGGAAAGTAAAAACTTGTATTATAAATCTTCCAAGTTTACATACTTTTAATTATTTTTCGAATATCGTTAATTATAATTAACTCAGTGTACAGGACAACCCAAAATGCTAATTTTCTACAGAGTTGGCTGATGTGCTAATGCTTTTTGTTTTTAAGTTTTTTGTTGTTGTTTTTTTTTCAGTCATTGTGTAATTACTCGAGTACATAAACAATACTTAAATGTTGATTAATGGAATTACCTTAGTCAGTAGAAGGTTTCTACACGATATTACAATGTATTCAATGAAAAAGAAATATGTGTTTCCTAATTAGTATTTCATTTACTTACCGATAACAATGAACCGGCGCACATTAATATTTATGAGAAATATCTAACATCGTATAGATAACTTTTTTTTTATATACTTACAGTCTAGCTTGGTTATCCATGTTATGTTCAAAATAGAATCCAATTTAGTTCTAGTTGATGCTTGTTATCTATATTATATGACACCGTTTAAAATTTAAAATATCGTAATAAAGCGCGAGCTTGGATACTGTATGCTATAGAAATAGTAAATTTGTTTCGAATGTCTACGAAAACCTACACAAGGGATACCTGTGCTAGTCATTGCTAATTTTCAACTGATAGAGTAGAGGGAAGGCAGCTAGTCAATATTATTCGTCGCCAACTTTTCGGTTACTCTAATCGAAAAATGATATTTCCTATTACTCTTATAACGCACTCAGTCCCAACGTGCAGAATGCAATTTTGCCGCAACGGGACGTGAGTCATGAAACACTAGATCAATAATCCGGCACGCTAGTCACTACACCATCGCCAACTGAAAAAAATATTAGTTGTTCCATTACAGGCTAGTCATCACCACCCACCGCCAACTTTTGGGCTACTCTTTTACCAACGAATAGTGGGATTGACCATCACATTATAACGCCCCCACGGCTGAAAGGGCGAGCATGTTTAGTGTGACGGGGATTCAAACCCGCGACCCTCAGATTGCGAGTCAAACGCCCTAACCACCTGGCCATGACGGCCAATACATATATATTCGCTGCCTCCCCATATTGTCGCGGAGTACTAAAATCAACTCTCACAGGCCGATAACGTTTCACAGATTACTGCTCGAGAAACATTACTTTAAAGTAATATATATACTGTTCGTTTGTCTGTTTTGAATTTCGCGCAAAGCTACACGAGGGCTATCTGCGCTAGCCGTCCCTAATTTAGCAGTGTAAGAATAGAGGGAAGGCAAGGGTAGTGAATTTGCATTGATGTTGATGAATACTGATTTCAGAAGATGCTTGTGAAAATTCAAAGTAAACTAAGAAATAAATAAAAAAATCAAGCAAACTGCGATAGTCCAGTTTGCCCCTGAAGAAGAAAGGTCCACCTTTCGAAAGCTCTCGGGTTATAAGTTTTTTATTCATTTCTGTCGAGACTTCTTGAACCTACGTGTTTTTATCATGAATGCGACAGCATTTTAAGTTTTGATAATAAATATTTATAATTTATAAACTAGGGTTTAAAAATTAGTCTATATCTCCATTTTTAAACTCTTAAAACTCTTTTTTTTTTTGCAGAGCTCTAATATATATATTTAGGGTAAACATAAAGTCTCAATACTTTACAAGACTTAATTATGTAAAGCAAATTTTCGATACAGGAACCTGCTGCACGTCTAAATTCCGAATTGTTCATTATTCTTTATACTTAACAGTTGTTTTTTTTAGCTCATCATTACTATCAGGTAGTCAAGCGTGACGAAAAGTTTCAACCCGAAACGTCGTTAAATATGTTGTAATTTAGGTGTGTACCATAATCTTGTTTATTCGTGTAAATTTTATTCCTCTTGGGAGACATAATATTAATATAATAAATATTAAAGATAAATAATTGGATATTATTACAGCAATTTTTTCAGTTGAAAGATACAAATGTCGCTACAAGTACGGTCACGAGCATGATTGAGTAATGTTTAATGTTTAATGTTTATTCCAGTTAGGAGTTAAACATCTCAAGTGTTAAAAATAGAGAGTGCTGTGAGCTTCTTGTAATAGTTATCACCCTTTCATAAAATAAGCCTCCTAGTGGCTCAGCGTAAATCTGAAGGCTTATAACGCTAAAAACCAGATTTAGATACCCGAGTTGGGTCACAGCACACATAGCTTCTTGTGTAGCTTTGTGCTTAATAGTAAAAAAACAACAACAAACAAACAAACAAAATCCTTAAAATACGTCATTTTGTGACATTTTTCATAAACTGACGTAACAAAACAGCGTAACTTCATTGAGCTCCATGAAAACGATGTTAACGAAAGAACTGCTGCCATAATGTTTGATAAAAAAAACTCTAAAAGTTATCAGCACATCACTAGAACTCCCACGTGCAGAAAACTTCTCAGTTTATTAGGTGTTTTAGTTGGTTTTGAATTTTGCGCAAACCTACACGAAGGCTATCTGCGCTAGCCATTTCAAGAAGGAAGGCAGCTAGTCAACACTACCTACCGCCAACTCTTGGGCTACTCTTTTGCCAACGAATAGTGAAATTAACCGTCACATTTTAACGCCCCCATAGCTGAAAGGACGAACATGTTCGGTGACTAGGATTCGAACCCGCGACCCTCAGATTGCGCGTCGAGCGCTCTAATCACCAGGCCACGCTAATCACTAAATAAAACCAAGCTCTTTGTTTTATAAAACTTAAACACAATATTCAGTAAGAAGCCAGTATTATACATGGACTAAAACTGTTAAGATTTCCTTAATAATCTTTATATATATAGAGAGAGAAATATATTTATTTGGTATAAAATTTCAATCAGAGGAATCTAAAACAAAACTACAAAAAACATGTTCTCCAACAGCCAGTCAACGAGCGAGACAGGAACTCTCCTAATAACACACAAGAGTTTTATGAAGTATTTTCCATTTCTCGAACCGTTAGGTTTGTAGATCAAACTTTTCTTCTTAGAACACAGATATTTTCTATATACCGGAATGTTTAAGGGGCTTTATGTCAATAGATAGCATGTCTTTAGCAGTACTTTTATCATTCTCAGGAAATATAAAGTAAAATAAATTCACGCTTCTCCTATGCATTTAGTAATTACATGTACAGATGTGTATACTATTAGAGAAGATGATACACATAATGTATATTTCTACTGGGAATCCAAAAAAATAATGGGTAGCAATTTGAAGCCTCAAAAGAATGGGAAAAACGAACGATAACATAGGCTGTAAGATTAATGGCCACGCAAAGTTGTGGGTTTCTTTTACGCCGTATGATATTGGTCCAATTATAAGACTCAAACCAGGAATGGAAAGATAAAAAGTAACACGGTTTCCTTTCAAGACAAACACGAATCATGTCGCTTAAGAAGTATTGCTTCGTTTCCAAGGCAATAACAACTGCGAGATTACAGAAGAAGTAAAGTAATATTTCAACCAACATTATTAAACGATGGAAAATCTAAACAACCACAAGATATATTACGCAAACATTCACAGTTTCAACGCTAAGCATTTGTTTCTACTATCAGTACAGTGTAAAGCTCCTAGGCATCCTGGTTTAATTTTTTTTCATATATAAAATATGCCTCAAAGCCTTTTTGACTATTTATATGTGAATTTGTTTTTGTTACACAAACATTAGAGTACAAGTTAAAACAGATATAAAGGTATAAAGTGTCTGTAACAGAAGACTTTAGGTCTGAATCACTTGCAGAAAATCAATTCCAAAAATCTCGAATAGCAGGGATCGAGTCTTAGAATGTTCTACAGACACCATTCTACAGACTATAATTTTTTACACAGTTCGTGTATTCTTTGTCGGGAAATTTTAATGATACCATTCTACAGACTATAATTTTTATATAGTTCATGCATTCTTTGTTTAAATAATCTAATGACACCATTCTACAGATTATAATTTTTACATAGTTCATGCTTTTTTTGTTTGGATAATCTAATGATACCATTTCACAGACTATAATGTTTATACAGTTCATGTTTTTCTTGTTTGGATAGTCTCATTATACCATTTCACAGACTACAATGTTTATACAGTTCATGTTTTCCTTGTTTGGATAGTCTCATTATACCATTTCACAGACTGTAATTCTTACACATTTCATGCTTTTTTTGTGGGGATAGTCTAATGACATCATTTCGCAGACTATGATTTTCACATAGTTTATGCTGCCTTTTGTCGGTATCGTATACCTCGACTAACACGACCACACAATAACTTCTTTTTGGAAATAGTACTTTTTACACGAAGGCCTATGTGAGTTTGTTTCTTTGACATCAGTTGTCAGAGTTGAAAAGTGTTCGTCAATAAATGGCAGAATCAGCAGATTGTATAAGCTTTGATGATTTATAAACTGTGACTTATCCGCTCCAATTGAATGTTCAATGTGTTATGTTTTTTTAAATCAAAATATTCTAAATTTTGTCTTACTCCGACTAACTATGTATCGATAACATTTATAAAACATGATCATTGAAAGGTAGCGTTTTTATTTATCTATTATTTGTATTTATACACAGAATTTCGGTTATCTATTTCAGACAGTTTTGTTTTTGTTTTTAATTAATTAAGCACAAAGCTACACAAGGGCGATCTGTGCTCTGCCCACCACGGGTATCGAAACCCGGTTTCTAGCGTTGTAAGTCCGCAGACATACTGCTGTGCCACTGGGGGGCATTTCAGACAGTACTTATGCTTGTATATATTGCTGTAAAATTGACTAGTCGTAACGCCAGTAAATTAGTTTCCCTCACTTTATTTTGTCTTCCAGGGGGTTTGCAGTACGTTTATGAATTTAAAACTTTAAAATTCGGGATTCAATATCTCGTGATGGACAGAGAGCAGATTATATATCGTTTAGTTTTACGTTAAAAAAGAACACTTTAGGATTTTATTACGTTTCATTCCAAAATTCCAAAATCTTTTATCAAACTCAAG